AAGGTGTACTATTTTATTATAAGATGGGTGATAAGATGAGTGAAATGGTAAGGTGTACTATTTTATTATAAGATGGGTGATAAGATGAGTGAAATGGTAAGGTGTACTTAAGAACAATTTTAATCAGAATATTAACATTAAAAAAAATAGAGGGGGATTGTTTGAGTAAGAAGATTTCAATATGGAATATCTAATCTAAAACATTTATATCTTATTATCACAGCTAGTAAACTCTTGAGGGAAAAAACAAGCAAAAGTGACATCATAAAAAACTTAATAATTATAAGCTTTTGACACTTACTGGTGAGTTTAAAGGATAGGAAGGTGCCCTAGAATGAGCAAGAAAATACCATGACTTCATATCTTACTAATGAACCATTTTGTATAATACTCTATTTTTTAATGAATTAAAATTTTAAAGTTTTCTTCTCAATTCTTATGGGTTAAGGTTTTGAATGTTTTCACATTTCTAGATGAAGAAAAATCATTTTTGAATATCTATATTTATACAGGATAATTTTGAGTTTCTTTATATGTGTGTGAGTGTGTGTGTGTGTGTGTGTGTAAAGAAACTAACACAAAGTACAATTTAAAAGCTCAATTATTTTTAAAATCCCACATGAGAGAAAGTCATGGAAGATAAATAGAGAACTCAAGTCGGGCTGAATCAAATCAACTCCTTGAAGGATGAAATGACTCGGCTAACTATCTTGTTAAAATAGACTATTCACTTCAAAATAGCTTGATGAAAGACCTTCATGAAAAAAAATTATTATGACAAAATCATCATTTTGCCTTCCTACATTGAACATAAAAACTTATCCAATTCTTCCATTTCATCCTCTTATGCATCTTCATGAGAAGAGTACTTTAAATGCATATTTAATTAATCATAACTTGTTTGTTTCTCTGAGATCAATAAGATCCCTACTATCATGCAAAAAAATCCATCACAAACTACTAGTGTAATATTGTGATATGATGCTCTCTCTTATCAAGGTCAAACACCTCTATCATTATTTTAGCATGGTCCAAGCCATAAAGAAAAATGCCACAAGTCATTTTCTTTTCCAGTTCCTTTTATTAGCATCTTATAAATGTATATTAACCACTCAAACCTTTCCAACCGTCCTTTCCAAAATAATACAATAAGAATTCCAAGCACGAGTATCATGTAAGAGTTGTTAGGTATGTTATTGATCATTCTCGACGCTTTAGGAAATAGATTAACAACCTAATCAAACATGAATGATTATTATTTGAAGAGAGAAAATGATGTATACAACATAACCAGAAAAGGACAAAAGACTATTAGAAAAGAAGACTTGTATAATCTTTTTTTAGTTGATGAAATGAATCATGCATTAAATGTTGGCATTTCTAGATAATTCAAAGGCATTGAATTTATTAAGTATATAGAAGCTTGATGTTTAGAGACTTATCTTAAAGTGTACTACAATAAAATGACTAAATTTATTCATAATAAAAAAATTATTAATCCATTACTTTCAATAAAGCTTGGCTGGACCTACTTTTAGCTAGTATATAGGGTTGAATAGCTTTAAAATAAAAAATATATAGACAAATATGGTAGAGGCTATTTTTAAATAGATTGAACTTAACTTAAAGGTGACTTTGAGTAAGTTTTACCTTTAAAGAATGGAGAAAATAAATAATGAATTAATCAAGGAATATACTTTAAAGTTATGCGAAGTGATAGCACAAAGTTACCCTCTCTGTTTAAAAAAGAGCTCACCTCTATTTTTATTTTTATTGACACTTTAATGCCTTCATATTATGAGTACTTAATTGATAATTCACCAATTAATTTTATGGATGTGGTGACCATAACAAAAAGGATTGAGTTAGGCTTGAAATCAGGAAGATCAATAATTTAACAGTGAGGTTTGGTGTCATATCAAATAATAAATAAAAATTTGGCTTTTAGATTAAGAATCATGACCACAGACATCTTATCCAGCCGCTGTAAATATTGTTAAGTGTCTCAACATCATCAACCTCTTAAATGTTATTATCCAAAATTGATGTATGTTTATAGCTCATCATTGTTTACCAATAGCTTATAAATACTAAACATATCACCCCATTCATGATGAATCTTATATCCTAGATGGTATAATTGAAATATGAAGTGTGAATATCATGATGGGATTCCAGCTATTTAATTGAAGATTATAAGAATTTCAAATATCAAGTTTGAAAGTTAGTCAATAAAGGCCATGTTTCATTTGTGAAGAATAATAGTAGATATCGTATCATCACCAATCTATTGATGACATGGTAAGTGATTAACTAGGATGATGAAAGAGGTGTTTGATGTGGCATCAAGCTATAAATATTTGGCAAGTCGAAATTGATATGATATAAAATGAGAGTTATGTTATCAACCCATTTTTATTATTTAATTTTATGAATTAAGTTATCAAAAACTTTATTTTTCTTGGATTTTTTTATATGTTTTAGGATTATGTTTTTTTATGATCATACTACATTTTTAATAAATTTTGTTTTGTTTTCTTGATCTAATTGCTTTTTTCAAATTAAAAGATGTTTTTATGAAAGTAATAATAAATTTATTAGTCAAATTCCAAGACATGACATACTAGTTTTAAAGTAAAACCTTTCTTTTTATGAATCCTAAAATCTCATAAACTTAAAAGGTATTGTCCACGTTATCTTTTCTTTTTGAATTCCTAAAATATACTGTCTTTTTTTAATAAGCCCAAAAAGAGTAAACTTTTACTTCAAACTCTTTCTTCGAACTCTATTCTTAAACTTTATAATGCTTTTTTCACTCCCAACAAACCTTTAAAGGAAAAATCTTGGTTGAAATAATTCAATGGAAACTGAATGATTTGATAACTTACAATGATAAATAATATATATTTGATTCATGATCCTATCAACCTCATAGTTTTCCTAATTAATAATAGTTTTTCCTAATTAATAATAGTTGAACAAGACTAAGATTTTTTAACATAAATAAATTTGAGTTAGAGATAAAGAAAGAACATCTTTGTTATACTTTAACAAACAAAAATTCATTCATTATTGTCCTTTTTTTAGCCTTAAATATTTTTTTTTTGATAATATCCTAGAACAAAATTACCCCTCGTAACTGGGAGTATGTTTTAGAAGCTCTTGGATAATCAATGTAATTCTCCAAATAAAAAAGAAATGGAAAATATGAAAGGGATAAAAGAGTTACAAAAAAAAGTGAAAAACAAAAAAAAATATTATTTTTTTGAAAATATTACTTGATTATTTTTTATAAATATTTATTTCTTACAATACGTTCAACCCTACTCTTATGAACAAACTTGGATTTATATAATGTGACTCCACAAACACCTCTGGAGTGCAGCTTTCAAGCCTATTTTAAGCATAATAAAGTAAAACAGGTTTTAAACCCAATTTATCATTCATTATCTTTTGAGTCCAACACATTTATTTTAAAAATAAGGATTAAGTCTTGTAGGTGAAGTTTCAAATCATTGTCTTTTAGCATTCTTTTATCCTAAATTCATACTTGTCAGTTTAGGTAAAAACACTTTACAAGAACATAATTTAAAAACAATTTAAAAATAAATACAAGGAAACTTACCTTAGATAGTATAATTTATGATGATTTTTATCTTTATTTTAACTTAATTAACCCCTTAATTGGAAATATAAAGACTGGTTATGATTTTTAATTACTATAAAATTAAATATCGACTCTTATATTTAATTTTACCCTGCTAAATCTAAATAATTAATATCATTAAGATGTTTCTTGCAATACAATAATATTAGAAATGTTATCATGAGAGCTTCAACTTGCCTCCCAGGTCTCGTTCTTTCATTCTTTTTTTTTTTTTTTATCTTTTCTGTCCCATGTTTTGGTTATTGTGTAAGCCTATTTATGTGTATTTTTTAAAATACCACACTTCTCAACTGTGGATTTTTAAAATATCGTAGGTGGGAACTGATGTCATTTCCAAGTTGTAGCAAAACCAATTTGACATAACCCCATCTCTCCTTTTCCATGTAGCAAAACCACTTGAAGATCTCAATCCTGCTATTAGGAAAGGACAGCACTAGGAAGCAGGAACAAATTTCATTATGTTTCAAGCATCAAAGAATGGATCCAGCACTTCAATTTCGCTTATTAAACATCAAGCATCAGCTGCAACATATCTTTCTGCGGAGTGTCTGCATTGAGAGAATGCAGGTCCATTCATACTGTACATGCAGCCAACTTATCCAAGTCCTTAATGTGTCGCTCTTGTTCACCAAACATTCTTACTGAAATCGTATCCGATCCACGTTTTCAGCTGGAACGAAGTATAGCTCACACTGAAGATCCACATTCAGACTCAAGATCATACCCTGACTTGAAATTTTATTCACCAGACCGCTATGGCGATTAAAAATGTGTAGACTGCAAAGCTATTTACAAGGAATTACTACCAAATTATGCTTATGGGGTTGAGATGCAAACAATGGCTAATTGAAGCCCTAAATAGCTGAAATGCAATGATGATTCATATGAATGGCAAAACAACCCAATTATTTTCAAGAGCCTCTCTAACTTGGCCAGAGTTAACACGAGAAGAAGGAACATGTCTTGACAAACAGCAAGGTGTCTAATGCCATGCCATAGCTCCCGCAAGGTGTGCCCTATCAAGAATCCCATACAATTATCATCCGATCGGTGCATTATTGATGAAGCGATGAAACTACTGGGAAACAAATGAGAGGGTGGAGCTCCCAAAGAGAAGATCCTACGAATTGGGGAATAAGACACTGCCAATATTTGATATAGCAAGTATGGGAAATGAAAGGCAGGGAGAGCGACAGAAGCCCGCCTCGACTCTTAAAGCATGAAAAGGGCTTTTAATGATGACTTGCCCGTAGTGTTCCAGCATTTTCCAAGTTTATGGAATATGTTTCAAGTTGCACGTGCCTACAACTTTAGCTCCACATGTAACACCCTGGCTCTGAATTCAATTGTCATTGCCATGGTGAAGTGTCAAAGTTCGATTTTCACCATGAAATCCAATAGAGCTAACTATCTTACTTAGCTACTAACCTAAAACACTACCAGTAGTGATTGCTTCAGAAGACCACCACAAGACAAGGTTTTACAGCATACCAGCATCGTGCCTTGTTTAACCAAGGCTCATCTCACTGTAAATTCTCCTAAAACTGTAACACAAATTATGTTCGATTTGAAATATTAAAAGGAAAAAAGTTACATAAAATTTTATTGGCTCACAGTTTTCTCACATAGTCGAACCCTCTGGAGCATCCCCTCATGAAACATGCTCGACAAAACAATCAAACTCCATCATGATACTTATCCAGTAATTCAGATGCTAGAGAAGCCCTCCGAGCTGGAAATTGCCACCATTTGCCAAGTCCAAAACCTAGATGAGAATGATTCCTTTCACTGCATGTATTTCCAACATTGTCATCTAGAATAGTGTAGTTTGAGCTGCTTATGTTCCTGAAATAGCAGAAGCCACTACCGTTGTATGTGTATTCCTGTTGTGTGCTCCCAATACCACTTTGAACCAAGTTATTCTTCACAACCATAACACCCTGCCCATTCTGCAGATTTCTGAGAATGTTCGATGCAAATCCCAAGCCAGCATGTTTAACATTTTTCTCATTGAATCCCAATGTAACATTTGCCACTGACAAGGAAGTGCCATTTCCTTGATCCATGTAGTCAGAGTACATGTCAAACTCGAAATTTTTTAACGATTTGAATGCTTTAACATTAGAGGATGGCTTCCTGAAAGAAACATTATCAGTAAATTCAATCGTCTGATTCAAGATCTGCAAATCACCGTCCTTGCCCATCTCCATCAAGTTGCTGTAACCGAAGTGTTGATTAAAACAGGTAGTGATCTCCCCATAAGAGGACTTTACCCATCCATTTGAGGATATGAACCTGCGTGCACTTGTCAAGAATTTTCCATTCAAACCTGTAAAATTTGATACCAAAGATAAAGCAAGAGGCTTGCTTTCATGTTTCAAAAGCTTCCCTTCTGTAATTGTGCTCCTATGGTCCAGCCAAAGATGCAAATTGGCATCTATATACCACACATTCAAAGCATTCGTGACACTAAATCCTAACTTGTGAGTCTTTCCATCCAATATATTTCCTAAGAAGGGCGTGATTTCAATATCATAAGAGGGGAGATCAAATGAACCAATGGCAGTAATGGGCCTCCACAAGAGAGGATTAATCCCACCGGTAAAAACCACAGTAAAAGGCCAAACTGCGCCAACAACCTCTCCATCAAGACTAACCACAACCTCTCTAAAAGGTCCATTTCCCGGGAAACCAGTGAGATTATTTGCAATAATATACTCATTAGGGTAATTTCCATACCAAAATTCATCATTCTCATGAAAAGAAACATAAACCTCCAACACAGCCCTGTACACATTTTGAGGTATCTTGAATTCCTTCGCCTCAGAATCAGTAGAATTCTGAATTTCAAACCACAACCCATCATTCAACGGCAAATTTCGCGAAATGGGCAGGATCAAATCAGCCTTAGAATCCCTCCCAGATGCCAAATTATTAAAACCATGATCACTATGACTCAATTTCTTTACAGCAGGATAAAAGTAAATACTTACATTCACATGGTATATACCAGTATAAGTACTATCAACGATATTACCCATATAAACAGCAAATTCTTGAGTCTCATTCTTAAGAAGCAATGAATAATACCTTGTTATATCCTTCCGAACAGTCCAAACAATCCCAGTTGCTCTAGGCTCCGCAGTGCAACTCCTAAGAAGCTCCACACCACCTAACCAAACCCCGAAAATACGATCAAATTGCCTCCCTTTGCAAGTTGCCTTCCATTCAAGGACAATCATGGAGAAATCTTGAGATGGGCAATGAGAGGGAGGGGTATAGTTTACAAGAACAGGAGGTTTGCCATAAGTAGAGGCAAAGTCGTGTTGGAGAATAAAGTGCTTGCAAGGCTTAGTATTGGGGACATCTATGGGTTTGGTAACTTCAAAGAAAACAGTTGGTGGGGTGTCATTGAGGGGTTTATGGGCTGGGTGCGTTGTGGTTATGGAAGTGGGTTCTGTAAAGAGATGTGATCTGAGAAGACTGTTAGTTTTGTGGATGTTAGCTGTGGAGGAAAGAGGGTGGAGGAGGAAGACGAAGACGAAGGGGAGAGGGAAGAGAGAAGCGGCCATTGACTGGTTGTTGTTAACTCTCTTTTTTCCTTTCTTTTCCTTGAGATGAAAAAAGAAAGAACGCTTTTTGGAGTGCTGTTTTCTTTGGAGAAACAACACTATACATTGGTTGATTGTACAAGAAATTATGTTGTTGGAGTGAATTGCAATACTCAAGATGAAAACAATGAATAAGAGTTGGAATTACGCGTGAGGTATCACAATGGTCCAGGAAATGCTGTCCGAGTAAGGGATTGCCAGCCAAGGTCAGGTGGGCCAAATTCTTCTTGCTTGGTCTTTTTGATGAAGAATTTGAGAAATATAGAAAGACTCATGTTTCTATTTTTATTGCGATTCGGGTGCTTTTACATTGAAAAACAAAAATATATATATTAATTTAATACTTTTTTAAGATAAAAATCATTTTTAAAAGATAATTTTAAACATATTACCAAGCTCGTCCTAATTTAAGGAAATAAAAAGAAAATCTTGCTGGCAATGGCGTAGGATCAGGAATGTTTTTAGGCTTTATAGGAAGAACATCAATGGTAAATTCGGTTGTGTGAGGTGAATCCCTATCTAGTAAAAAAAAATATTAGGAAATCAATGTGCAAACACTCAGATTGAAAGTGGATTTACACAGTAAAATTAATATTGTGCTCTCCATGATAAAAATCATATAACTTGCTCACAGGAATAAGAATATCTTTTTCATAGGATTTATTTGTTATTACTATATTAAATGGGGTGAAATGATCATTGAACTTTTTATTTACATAGAATAATATCTAAAATATCATTAAAAATTTAATTTGCTTAATTATTAGGTTAAGGGCATTTTTTATTTTTATTTTTTTTAGCACATTATAATTTCCAAGATACTCATAGAATAAAAAAATCTATAGTTTAGATTAAGGGGCTTTTTAATTTTATTATGGTCTGTTTATTAATATCAAATGGGTAAAGTTATTTAGATTTTTTGATGAATTAAATTTTTTTTAAAAAAAATATTGATACATGCATCGCATGAGAGGCACTTATGTTTTTTAGATTTCGCTTGTAACGTCTCCGAGCCGCTAAAATAGCCAACTTCCATCTTTTATGATAATGCGAATCAATGAGATAATATGTGTATGATATTTCATAGTGGTTAAACAATAATTAAATCTCTTTCTCACTTTTCATCGAAAAACATGTCAATTAGCCAAAATCAAATGTTGATCTTCATTTTCTTTTTATTTTAATTATGACTTTTATTCTTTTAATTGCTTTTTTTTAATCCTGTTTTGATTTTTTTTTTATCTATTAGCATTTTATACCATTTGGTATTTATATCAAATTCGATCTATATTTTTTTAATTATTTTTTAATTTTATCTCTTATCATTTGATTTAATTTAATTTTTATGTTGTATTTAACCATTATTCTTTTAATTGATTTTTGTTTAATTACATCCTTCAATATTTTGTTTGTTTAGGATTGTACTTTGCTCATATTTTTTTGGTGCAATAATCTTAGTCTTATGACCCTAGCCACAAGTATGAAATCTTAACCCGGATTTATATCAGTTTTTTATGTTTTTTTTTCACTAATTTTATTTTTTTAATTTTATCATTCAATATTGAATTTATTGAATATTAACCTTTTTTATTTTTTTTTCTTTCTATGATGATAACCTTTCCTTATGGTCCAAATCATTTTTTATGTGAGCTCAGATTGGCTCAAGGCTTTTACATCATTTATTTTATTTTTATATCAAATTTATTCATCATTTTTTTAATTGTTTTTTTATGCATTACAAAAATTTGATTTTTAGTCGTCAATATTGGATTATTAAGGATTGGGCTTTGTTATTTTTTCAATACAGTTATTCTCGTTTCATAACCCGAGTCACGGGTATAAGATGTTAGCCTAGGTTGACATCAAACTTTTTTCTACTTTTTTTACGCCTAATTTTTTTCTTCATTTAAGCATTTGGCGATGATTTTATTAAAAAAAAATGAGTTTCTTTATTTATTTTTTCTATATGCTTTCTAAGAGGATGTCTCAGCATAATAATTTGGATCATAAGTTTATTATGCTAACTTGAATTTAGTCAAGGATTATTTTTCATTTTTCAATTTCCTTTTTCAATTTCCTTTAACATTAAGGTCTAAACTTGATTTGCAAAATTTTCTTTTACTTTAAAACATGTTAGTTGCGCTCTAACATCATTTTTTTAGGTTATGAAAGAAATCAACTCGACCCAAAGCAAAGCACAATAGCAAAGCACAGGCCACTTATCTAGTGCCGCCTAAATTCTCTTAGGCATCCAAGTCATCATTTTTTTAGACTATGTAAAAAGGAATATAATGAAAATATATTAAAAAATAAAAAATATATCATTACTAGATTTGTGGCCAATGTTCCACTGCGCGGGCTAACCAAATTTGTTTTGACATAAAAAAAGAATGCTAGAAAAAAAATTCAAACTCGAATCATTGGTTTAATTGATAATTTCAACAATATAGAAAAAAAAATGACAATAAATAAACTAACAAAAAAAAATGACAACATAAAAAAGATAAAAAGAACCCGATCTAAGCCCATCCAAATTATTAAACAATCCAATGTTAAAGGGCAAAACTAAAATAAAATAAAATAAACAATAAAAAAAGACCTTGATTATACCAGGTTAACTGACAAACTCTACAACCATAGATATGAGATTAAAATAATCTTATAAAAAGGGGGGGGGAGTCTAAATATCATTTCCTAATAAATCAAGTTAGAATGTGATTACTCCATATAAAGAAAAATGAAAAAACAAGAAGCTAAAACTCAATTTCTAGCAAATAAAATGTTGAAGTGTAAAAATTAAGAAAAATAACACATTTAAAAAAGGTAAAAATAAGAAAATTTGATTTGAGCTTACCCGGGTCAAGATACAAAATCTCTGACTTAGTCATGATACCTAGATAACCACATTTGAAAACAAATTAAATAAAATTATTAAACTCAATTACCAAATAATTTAATGTTGAAGAATAAAAATGGAAGAAAATAATTAAAAAACAAAAAAAATATAACTCAACCGAGGTTAACACGCTAACCCATTGACCATAGTCATATGATCGGGATAATCCGATAGATATAAAATGAAAAAAATAAAGATCAATTTTCAATACATTAAATATTGAAAGTTGAAATTGAAATAAATCAATTTAAAAAAAAAAACAAGAAAAAAATCTGTATTAATTTTTTAAATCAATGACTTTGGTTATAAACTTGAGACTAGCCCTATAAAAGATAAACTATAAAAAATAATTCTTGGTAAAGAGATTTTTATCTTATCAGGTTAAAGCCTAGTCACTTTAGAGTCAAAACATATTATTTTTATATTTTTTTTTTTAATATTAGGACGTATAAGTTTGTAATTCTTGATATTGAGACAAACAAAATAATTTTTTTCGTATTTTTAAAATACATATCAAGTTCTTATAGATTTTATAAAAAAAATTATTAAATTCAAAAATACATCCAAATATATCAAGAAAACTATTTTTCTTGAATTTTTATATTTAAATATATCAAATTATACCTTGTATTTTTTTTATTATTTATAAAAAATTTTTTCTAGAAAACTTGGCCTTATACGATTTAAAACAATGTGTGGATCAGGATCTACTACTTCTGAGGAACAATGTGTGGTTCCATATGCTGTTTCTGGTGGAAATAGAAAAACAATTGGGTGGATCAGGATCTCCTACTTCCTTTTCTTCGTGTGCTGGTGGTGGAGCTACAGGAGCGTGTAAAACCAAGAAAAATCCACAAATAATTGATTTTATTTTTCATTGAATCTGTTTCTCTCCATCAAAGTTCAAAAATATATTTTTTAAGTTTATTTTAAATAGATATGTTAAAAATCAAGTCCGTTGAAAATAAATTTTTAATTTTTTAATTTTTATAAAAAATAATTAAAATATAAAAAAACTATGCAGATACATTAAAAATATATATTTTTAATTTATTTTGTTATTTTTTGGAAATTTTGGATTTAAAAACATAAAAAAAAATAAAAAATCATGTTATGACATACACAAAAATTGAAGTCCATATGGCATAAAATACTCTATCATGATAAATAAAATATAAACTGCCCTATTTTAGAAATACAAATTTAAGACTGCCTTATTTTGGGAAAGAACTCCACCGTTGGATGAAGTGATCCTTACACGAACCCGCTAATCTTCTAAAAGAAGGCAAAATTTCTGAGCTATTTAGAGCATTATTTCGGTGATTATTTTCCATAGAAAACTTGTGCAATTTGAGAAACTATTAGGAAGATTTAGCTTGTCATGCTCTCTGTAGAATAGTGAGATACGTACAAGATACATGAGATACATACAAATACATGATGAATTTCACGATCACCATAAAATTTCTTCAATTATTATATTTTATTAATATATCTTTTTTGCTTATTGATCTTTATATTAGATGTGATGTAATTAATATACCTAATAATGTATTTTATTGAAGTAAAAAAACAATGTCGATGTCGATGTGGGTGTGGGTGTAAACAACGATGGGGTGCCAAGTGATTGAGATGTTTTGGTAGCGGGGGAACATGAAGAAAAAGAGATGATATATAATGATTAATATGAATATTCATATCGTTTTATATATATTTTAATTAATTTTATAAATTTTAAATTAATGATAATATAATCCTTTAGTAATTTAAAAAAAACTTAAATATATAATAATTGAAGAATAAATAGACAGAGTTAATATGCTTGAATAAATTTTAATAAAAATAATCTGGGTTTGTGTAAAAGAAATACATGGAAATGAAGAGAAGATAAGGACCTAATTTGGAGACAAATCAGTGGAGAAATGAAGAGAAGCAACGTCAGAAGAAGTAGAGAGTAGAAAGATACCCAGGCAGCCACTAGAATTTGAAAATTGCCCTTTCTTTACCGTCAATTTTAATTTTTTAAAGTGGTTTCGCTGTTAGAGTTGAATCCCTTGCCAGCTGTGTCTCAGATGACATGTTTGCTTGAGTAAATACTCAGCTTACGTCATATTATACTAGTGGTATTTGGAATTAAAGTGGAGGATTATTTTTTTTTAAGTATTTTTTACTTGTAAATATATTAAAATAATATTTTTTTTATTTTTAAAAAATTATTTTTAATATTAATACATTAAAATAATATAAAAAAATTAATTTAAAGTAGAAAAA